GAAACCTGACTATCATTAAAGCAGCTGAAGCTGCTCCTTGCAATCTGTTTGATCAATGTATTTCACATGGAATTTGTCATTGGCTAAGAATCAAGGTTGCTGAAGTGTAACGTATCTGGAGGGCGATGTGTTAAATAGCTACACAAGCTGTTTCAAGGCAAGTCTCAGGTGAGCAGCGCATCCAAATTCTTGTAATCATCATCTACTTTGACAAAATTAGGTTAGTTATTACATTTATATTGTGCCTTTCTTTTGGGGGTCTTGCAGTGCTTTCTCCAAGTTTATCATACCGATGTAGTTTTTGGAAGTTAATCTTGGAATGAGAGATACACGTAGTCCTTGACTTACAACCACGATTGAGCCTAAAATGTATGTTGTTAAGTGAGAAATTTGTTAAGTGAGTTTTGCCTCATTTTATGACCTTTCCTGTCATATCTGTTAAGTGAATCATTGCAGTTGTTAAATTAGTAACACCGCTGTTAAGTGAATCTGGCTTCCCATTGACTTTGCTCATCAGAAGGTCACAAACTGTGTTCATATGACCCTGAGACATTGAAACTGTCACAAATATGAACCAGTTGTCAAGCAACCTAATATAAATCACATGACCATGGGGATGCTGCAAGGACTGTAAGTGTGAAAAATGGTCATAAGTCACTATTTTCAATGCTGTTGTAACTTCAAATGGTCACTAAACAAATTGTTGTAAGTCAAGGACTAGCTGTAGTGACTGGTCCAATGTTATCAAATGAGCTTTCATGTCTGAGGACAGATTTGAATCTGGATCTCCTCAATCTTTATAAAGTAAATTTATAAAGTACCACTTGATAAAACCTTAGTAAGACCATACCTGGAATACTGCATCCAGTTTTAGTCACCGCATTACAAAAAAGATATTGAGACTTTGGAAAAAGTACAAAGAAGAGCAACTAAGACGATTAAAGGCCTGGAGGCTAAAACATATGAAGAAGGGTTGTTTGGCTAGTCTAGAGAAAAGAAGGACTACAGGGGTCATGATAGCAGTGTTCCAGTATTTGAGAGGCTGCCATAAAGAGGAGGAGGTCAATTTCTTTTCCAAAGCACTGGACGGCAGGACAAGAAACAATGGATAGAAACTAATCAAGGAGACAAGCAATCTGGAATTAAGGAGAAACTTCCCAACAGCGAGGACAATAACCAGTGGAGCAGCTTGCCTTCAGAAGTTGTGGGTGCTTCATCACTGGAGGTTTTTAAGGAGAGACTGGATAGTCACTTGTCTGAAATGGAATAGGACCATGATGGTGAACCTAGGGCACGCGTGCCACAGGTGGCACACAGAGCCATTTGTGCCGGCACGCGAGCTGCAGGCATACTTACCTCACTGGGCATGCATGCGGCTCACAGTTGATTTTTGGCCGGTTTGGGGCCTTTTTTGGCCTCCCAAAGGCTTGAGGAAGGTTTCTGCAGGCTTTGCAGGCTGAAAACTAGCTCCATTTCATCACTTCCTGTTTTTCCGAATATATCGGAAGTGACGAAACGGGGCTAGTTTTCGGCCTGCAAAGCCTGCAGAAGCCTTCCTCAAGCCTTTGGGAGGCCGGAAATCAGCTGTGAGGCGCAGTGCAGGTAAGGGGGCGACGAGGGTGGGTGGGGATTACATGCACATGCGTAGGGGGTGTGGGGGGGCGCGCATTGCCTTCTGGGTGCTGGCACGCGAGTGCGAGCATGCAAACACATGCACAATCTTTGGCAAGGAGCCCAAAAAGGTTAGCCACTGGTATAGGATCTCCTGCTTGAGCAGGGGACTGGAGTAGAAGATCTCCAAGTCCCTTCCAGCTCTATTCTGATTCTGATTCAATACTTTAACTACTATCCATGTTGAATCATCATGCTGTTGACCCACCTTTTCCAAATACCATCAGTAAAAATGGAATGCCCAGCTTCCCCTGGTTTCCTCCTCCATGAGAACTGTATTATTTCAGTTCTTGTAACCTCCACTGACTCTCAGCCCTACCCAGTGGCTGAAAACCCTGCTAAGTAAACTATAAGATTGGTTTAGTCTATTCAGAGTGATATTCAGTTTTTATTTTTAAAATTGGGGTGTTATTTCTGTTGCATTCACATTCACAATCCTTATTAAAACATTTTTGATTAATTTGTTCAACCATATATTCATAGAGCGGCTTATAGTTTGGAACATGTACAAGCACACATAAGATAATAATCCCTTAGGGTTTAGTCTAGGAAGACAGGGGAAAAAAGAAAGAGGAAGAAAATACATTCTGGTAGAAGTTTTGTACACATTACACAAGCCTTATAAACACTGGGATACAGTAGAAGAGGCAGCCAAAGGAGCTGGTCTTTCAAAAGAGCAGGTGGGTTTCACCTGCTTTTGTAGCAGCCAGGTAAGAACCCAGAGTGAATTTGGATGGCTTCACCTGGGCTGTGATGAAACAATACTTTGAAAAGTATTGTACTTCATGCTTTGAAAATGACTGCAGGTCAGTCAAAAACTTGCACCAGGAAACATAATGTGCAACTGGAATTTATTATCACGAGAAGTGTTAAAGTATTTTAGCATACTTTAAAACAGGATCTGATACATTAACAGAAAAAAGTATGGTTCACTAAAGTACCTCAGTGATGCTCTTCAGGACATCAGCTATGCTATTTCACTTACAAAAAATAAAACAGAAGTGTTGCAACTCACACAGCAGCCACAGTGCATTGAAAGCTAGTTTGTGTCAGATGGTGCTCCGTTCAAAATCCAAGAAAGAAATACTTAGACTCCATTAATTAGAGAAAAGATATCTTTTACTGGAAGTCAAGTGGTAGCAACAAAAGAATTCTGAATCTGAGAAAATGAGCATGTAAATCACATATACAAATATACATTCCCACCCTCAATAGTTCAATTGGCTCATCCAATAAAAGTTGTGTATAGCATCATGTGGGCATCTCCAGGTGATGAGGCCTGTCAGTTGACCTTGACATATTTTGATAAAGAGCTGCAGCTGAGCATAGGATAGAAGCCTAAGCAAGAAACTTCCCCCCCAAATTATACAGCTCTGTTTTGTAAAGCCTCCAGCTCACTTCCCATAACCCCGTCCCCCCTCCTTCCCCCTGTTACTTATGACAGCTGAAAGATGCAAAGCAAAGGAAGAAAATCTTGAAGGCTGACAGTCTGAATGCTTGGCATACCCAGGCAGGAACAGGGAACTACTTCTAGCAATCATTCCTTGTTGCCTTTAACCATGGTACAAATGTCTGGGCAAGCTTCTTTTTAATAGCATTGCTATCAAAGAGATTATTATTTGACTATTGTGGCTTTAATGTTCTATTCCCTATTCCAACACAGTTTTTGTTTGGTGCACTTCATTGACCATTCTGTGCATCATGTGACTCCCTATGGATCAGTGCCTGTTGGTCATTTTAAGCTGGCAGACATACACACATCTTTCCCCCTGGTCCCTAGGCTTTCAGGCGTGGGCTGATTCCTTTATTGCCAGAGCTCCAAGACAATTGATTTGGAAGTTCGGTTTTGAAAGAGGAACCAACCCAGGTATTAGGCAGCTTCCCCCATTATCAGTCAGGTGAAAGAAGGAGATCCACCCGTCTTCATTTCCCCAAATCTCCAACCCCAGGGGTTTGGTTGGGAGGGAAGCAGGGGAAGGGGGAAGAGCCTTCAGATAGCCACTAGCTATCCCAAGTGCAGGAAGATTGAGTTGGGATATGGCTGAATCAGTGAACAGGGTTTATCCCTTTAAATGTCCCCTTCATGGGTCCATGTGCTGTGATTGGGGAGTGCTCCCTCCAGCTGGTGTTGAGAAGGATGAAAGGGCAGTAAGCACACCTTCCCTTTTTTTCTTTATACACCTGGCATTTTGGAAATCAGGGCTGAGGCTGCTCAGATCAGAAATGGGAACAACAAAATTAGTGCTATTTTAGTTTCTATTATCTCAAACAACAACAACCTGTAACTCTTCAGAAGAGTTACAAAATCTCCAAAATTTACAAAAATGTCCTCCCCAAATTTCTAATTTATTCTTTTCAGGAAGGGGCAACAGGTGAGGGTCCAGCTGCTGCTGAACTCCAAGATTCAAGAGCCCAACCTTTCTAGTAAGGAATGTTGGAAATTGTACTTCAGCAAAATTGTGGGGGGTCGACAACTCTAAAACAATTACGGTAGATTAGGACCAGCGTAAATAGGCTGCCAAAATCCAGACGATACAAGATGGCAGTAAAGAGGATAGACGACGAATGCAAAATATTCAATTCAGATTCCCAACCTCCCAGGAGAACCACCACAACCATGTGACTTACTCTTGTCTGGCTGTATTGACAGAATGACACCTTGAACCATGAACGATCCACATCAGCTGGGTTTCCATAACAAGCTAGCCTAAAAAGTGGTTGTTGGCCAGGTGAAGTTTTCCCAATGGAGGTAAAGGTGCACCGGTGTTATCTTTTAAGCCACTTGTTTTTTAAAAAGCACGGTTCTCCAAATTGATCTAAAAGCAACATTTCGTACACTGTTGAGAAGGAAGATAATTATACCCAGGACAGGCAGGACTACCAAAAAATTATCTCGGGCAATAATCCATCCGGGACAGTCGTCTCTCGGGTCAGAATATGTTCAAAGGCGATGCAGCCACTCATTTAACTTCGCATGAAGGAAGGAGATAATTTGATACTACCAACCTGTTCCAGAGCCTTTTCCCCGTCGCCCCTTTTCCCCTCTAACGTACTTAATGTTTGCCTATTGTTATTTCATTGGATTCTCACATCAGGGGATCCTCCTTTCGGGCTCTTACCGAATCCCGCTTTACTCTTCCCGCAAAGTTCTGCTTCGCTATTCGCGAAAGCGCCAGACTTCGGCGAGGCGTGGCTGTTGCCTGGGGAACCGCCAGGGGGCGCGCGAGGACGAGCGTTGAGAGCCCCGGCGGCGGCTTAAACGCTCCATGGAGCCACCGGCGGAGGCCGGAGGCGCCGCAAGAGAAAGAGAGAGGAGAGAGCGAGAAGCGATGGCTCACGGCAGCCCAGTGGTGAGGGTGAAAGAAGTGTGTGTGTGTATGTTTGTGTAATTGGAAGAAGGTAAAAAAAGAGGTTTGAAAGCCAGCCCATGTTGAGCCGACACCATTCCCCCCCCCCCGCCCCCAGGAAGGGGATGCTCAGTGCAGAGGGAGGCTGCGTTGACGCTTCTCCTGGCTATTGAATACAGTAACTTATTTTCTGGAGGTACTTAATACGTGGACTAACAGAGCTGGGTTTGTATGCTAATAATCTATTGCAACTAAGATTAATACTAAACTGAGCGTACTAGCAAATATATCTGCTATCTTTTACCTGGCCTCAGTAAGTGAGTGGGGTGGGGATGGGGAAACCCATCTTGCTGAAGAGAAAGGACTAAATCCCTGAACATGTTAAGTAAAACAGGATGATGAGACATAGCCCAGCTGGTTTTAGAAGGCTGTGAAAGGGGATAGATAGGCTATAAGCAACAGTCCTTCAGACTTGGGCAGTTGGCCTCTAGATTCCTATTCACATGGTTAGGTAGTGGCTGCCTCTGAAGTTCGCTTGAGTAGGATAAAGAGCTGGGTTAGGTCTTAATTCATCAAGGGCTCCTGCTCTGAGTAATCTGACGCCACATGCTACAGGTGGCCTACATCTCCCATTCAGAAGTAAACCAATCCCACCCCATCACATTGATGTAGTCTGGGGATAGGTTAGAATGAATTTTGAAACAATAGCCCTAGAAAAATATAATGGGGTAATCCTGTTTGAATTGGTCTGAAGGATAGCCATCTTCTTAATTTACTAAGTTAGATAGTAATTCTTTAGTTGACAAGAAATGTGTCTGAAAGTTGAACAAGAGGAATAATATTTAATGTAATTTACTTTGTGTTTTGAGCATCAAAGATTTTCATGCTACATTATTTCACTAATTATAACAAAGTATGTTAAGCCATAATGATTTACCTTAGAACATCTCACAATTTAGCACTGAATTCAAATTTGAAATTTTCAGCTGGTACTTCTGACCTTCAGACTAGCATAGTTCCAAAATAACATGGAGTAGGTATCTGAAATGTTTTGTTTTTTGATTCAGTAAATCTAGAGTTCAGATACATTCCTGCTGTTCACAAAAATGCTCATTGTTTCTTTAAAAGGTCATCTGCTTCAAATTACTTGTTTGAGGTTGTGTGTGTATAATTTAGTGCCTGCTTTTTATCTCTGCTCACCCAAATAATAAAAAAACCCCAGAAGAAATCTAGTTGGAAAGCTTTAGTTAACAGAAGGACTGCTTTATGGGTGAGTACTTAAAGGAATCAAACTAAGCCCATGCTTAAATTAATTTGCTATCTTTCACAATGACTCTGATCTAAATTGAATATAATTTGGATCTGAATGCAAAACAGAATCAGTCCAGATTTGCACTGCATGTTAGAATTTAGAAGATTTTAAAAACTGCAACACAGTTAACATAAAATGCCAGCATTGGTTTATTGTGGCAATGCAAAAAATTAAACATTTACTGCCTAATGTAAAAAATCTACAATTCTGTTAATTTAGGAGCCAGGGCAAATATTAAAGAGAAGTGTGTATATAAAATGAGCATGAATAAAACATATGTGAACATTTGTGCAAAACATTCTAGAAAGAAAAGGGTAGGTAAAGGTATTTTTCCAATTCAAGATTCTCTGGCTTCTTGGTCAGAAAAGAAGAAAAGCTACTGGCCACTTCCTTATCCCTTTTCTTCCTGCTGTTTGCTCTCACACACAATGAAGAGTTTTGAGAATTATTGGTAAGAACTCCTTGCTGCCACCTCAGATGCCGATTTTGATAAGGAGATCATCTTTAAAAGGAAGGTGATTGTTACTCATCCCTTCATTTTGGACAATGCAATGACTTAAACTAAAAAAAAAAACATTTTTGAGAAAGGAAAAATAAAGGATTTTTTTCACTTAAAATTTTAAGGAGGGTGTGGCTTTTGTTAACGGGATAAG